GGACAAGATTTACAAATTGTTAACATGGGAGAAGTCTTTGGTTAACTCCTTATAGGAGTTATTACCCTGAAATGAAGATTTTTACCACTTTTCACATTTTTGGCCAAAACTATTGTAGATAAAAAAAATATAAACAGCAAAAATTTTCAGTAAAAAAAGATCTGCAAATAGCTCAACACAGCTCCTTAAAAACAGTTATTGCCCTTCAAAGATGATTTTAATCAAATTTTGCATATAATGCTAAAATTATAATAAATATAAAGAAACTGAAAACATTAAAAGTATCAGCAATACAAGATTAACAAAATAAAGATATGTTAGTCATGGTTTAATTCTTGTCTTGAATGTTGGAGAGTTACCATTGTTGAAAATATTTTTTCAATTCAATAATGCATAGATCCAGGTGATCGTCATAGGCTCTCTAATTAATATTCCTTATCCTTGCTTAATTCCTAGACACACAAATAACTTGGGTTGATATGAATTCATTAACTTTCTAAGATTTTCTTTAATTTAAGAATTATAAAATTTGACAGGGAATTTGTTATTCTATAAATATATAAGGAATAAGTTTATTTGATAGGTATTCTGCACATATATCTTGTAATAAAAACATCATTGTTGAATGTAAAATACCATATTGTATTTTTCATGTATGATTATATGTAAACATTGTAATAATAGTTTGTAAATGTTTCAATCTAAGAGATTACACATAACCTGTCATTGTTAGAAATTTATATCTGTATTTTGATCTGCATGCACTTTATTTTTATTTTGTTATTACAATTTACCCTTCCAGAGCACCCAAAATCAACCCTGAGTTTTTGGTGGATGTTGCTCAATATATAGTTTTCTGTGTAGTGTCCTGTAGACTGTTCGTTTTCATTGTTTTTTTGTCATGTTTTTGTCTGTTTCTCTCTAACTTATGAATTTTGTTTGTCCCTTTAATAACTTATGCCTCTTTTAAACGCTGACACATTATGAACAAGAAAGAAAAATAATTTCACCAAAAAGATATTTACAAAGGAAGTTTGCAACTTGTATTTTATGTTCTTTTTGAAAAAAATATTCATGAAATTTGCCCATTTTTAGCCTAAATTATAACTATCTCCACAAAGATGCCATTTTAATGATATCACAATTGAATTGTCTCATCAAACAAAAACTAGTATTGACTATTTTTCACTTTAATTGAATTTATTGTGCCATTTAAGACCAAAATGTATTATTCTCTCACTATTCACTATCTACACTTTCTATTCTATATAGGTCACGGTGATAAGCTTGTACAATGTATTTAAAAAGATTTCAAAAGCTTCAATAATACATACTTTGACTTTTATAACCAAGAATCATAAGCAATACTAAATTTAAAAATTCTTCACATAATCTGAGATTTGTGCTTTACATTCAATTTGAGCATGTCACATTGTGTGAATAAGATGGCTAAGATTTTGGATTAAAATTTGTTCACCATATTCCAATTTGTACTGTTATTTGTATAACACAGGAAGAGGAAACATTTAAATCCAAAATAGAGTAATGTGTTGCTGAAGTTCAACAATTATTTCTTCAAATCGAAGAAAGTTTAACGTGACCTTGGACAATCTCATTTGTTTATAATTTTGTAATTTCATACAATCCTTTGTATAACATTTTTGTCATAGCAGGATGTATATATAGTAATTTAAGACATTTTACATTTTTTTTGTTTCGGAACTATTTGCAAACATTTATGTATTAAGCATTAAATTATGCTTGCATCAGTAATTAATAATGACTGATTATACAGTAATTGAACTGCGGTATGTTTTGTTACAAAGATCAAAATTTGTTTTACTATTTTAAAAATTATTCTGCTATTTAACAGCCTAGTCCAGTGCAGTTATGTCAGCCATTTTGATTTTGAAACTGCTACTTATTTCTATAATTTATATTAGTCAAATTCACTATAAAGGTCAACCAATTAATAGATTTTTAAGTTATTCTTTTAACATTTCAACTTGTTTATCTTTTCCATGCTCTGAAATCTAGTCTTTCTTTTTATTGTAAAACTACCATTATCAAATTTAGTCATGTATACTATTGGAAGAAATTGTACATAAAGCAATAGACCAATATAGAAATAATGATGCGTTGTGGGAACACTGTCTTAGATGTTTTGATTGGTCTAGACATATAGAAAGAAGCTGAAGCTGTGTTACAAAATTTATTGGGTAAGATGTTGACTTTTTGAAATGGTTTATTGAAGCAATATATATTGGTGCTTTTTGTTCTATTGGTCTGTATTTAAACTGTTTGTTGTGCATTCAGTTTCAAGTATTTATGATTTTATTTCTCAAGATTACTAATGTGAAGTCAGATAAAATTTATTCCTTTATTTTTAATTCCCTATTTGGCTGTCTTCAAACTCTAAATTTTATTGAAAAAATAAGAAAAACATTATATTTATCTTAAGAAAATGTTTACTTTTATATCTTAAAAGGTGCAGGTATTATATACTGAAAAAGCTCAATTTTATTAAAAAAAAAAAAAGATACCAGAAAGAATCAGGGATTTATTTTTATGTCATTATGTTTTAGATTATAGTTATTTTGATAATCATGAACAAGTTTTTCATTTTGTAAACTTCATTGTTATTCTACACGTAATAAAATGTTAAAGAAAACAATGTTTGTTTTTTTTTCTTGAGAAGAATGTCCATCATTTTAATCTTCTTTATCGCTCTAGTTCTTTTTAAGAAGTTTTATCCTTAATCTTACATATAGAGTTTAACTCCTTAAATACAGGTTGTTCTGTAACTTCTGTTCCGCTATTTGGTTTGCCATATTGACTTATTGATACAATGTCTTTAAATTTACTTCAAACTGAATGGTAATCAAATTTCATTGTAGAGTTGGTTATGATATTACTGACAATCTGTGGAACAATTGATTTTCAAGGGTAATAGTTTTTATGGTTTCAAGGTAGATTGTATTTTCATGGACATATTTGATACAGTATTTGGCAGTTTTGACAAATTCTGTATAGGAAACCTTTAGTAGGGATTTTGATTTTTGTTGAATTCTAAATTGTTGATGCACAATTACCATTGAATCCACAAAAACTAGTTCCCCATGAATACTGCAATGATCCTTTCTATCTATCTGCTACATAGTACCCAGCTTCTGTAATAAAGAATGATTGGATATTTGAATTTTATAATGTTGAGTTGTACTGGGATCCAGATCTGGTGTGCAGTCACTTCCTGTTCGAAGATTATTTCTATTATACCCCCTAAGAATGGAATTATAACAAGCAGTGGTCTATTTTGCATGACATTGAGTACAACTTCTTGTTATGGTAAACATTCATTATTAACTTCTTACCATAGTTCTGCACTGCAGCCTACCCATGGCAGTTCTAACCTATTGCATCAGGGAAATATAAACAATTTTAGAGTTCCAATTCTAATTTGTGATTTCATTAGACAACAGTGCTATATTTTCTAATCATCAAAAAACAAAATTATATTTAGACTCAATTTTTTTTCTTAATCAAGCTTGAGTTAAAAAAAGTATGTAGGCACGAGATGGCTGAAATGTAGATATTGAATTGTCAACTGTGCTTGTGCTTTTATTTTGGGATACAAATTGTTTTTTTTTTAGAAATTTTATCTTTTTACTTTGCATGTAACAAATTAGTTGAAATATTCATTCAATTTTTTTTTTTCTGAGAACATGTTCAATGAAAAACTTATTCTGAAGTCTGTAAGGGGGCATAATTATAGTGTGAGGTAAATCCTCAAGCCAATATATTTTTATGCTACTCCTACGAAGTAAGGGAGACATTATGTTTTCTGCATCATTTCATTGGTTGTTGTGTGAAATATGTAGATGTATATCAAATTAGGGTTTTCAAATTCACTGAACCTGGACATGTGATAGTGAGAGCTCAGCCTCAGGGCATGATGAAAGATGATGATATTAATATCTTGTATACAATGGATTTATTAATGTTTTTAGGATACTAATTTCTTGGATTTCATGGGTATAGGTAAACCGCTAATTTTAAGTGTTCAACAAAGAAAAAAGAAAAAATTTCCTATAGATTTATATGCAGATCCTTTGACATTATGTTTGTTGACTTTAAACAATTTTTGTCTTGAAACTGGTACATAAAGTCTTATCTACCTTTTTTAGTAGGCACTTCCTTCAGAATGTCACAATTTTTTAAAATACTATGGATTCATTCATTTTTGTGGGTGCTGAATTTCAGGGATTGAAGAATAGATGTATTTTTCATTTTTTTTGTGGATACTTGACTTTTTGGTTTTGACAAACTGTGCATAAACAAACCAATAAAAATTTGTTTTTTGTTGAGTATTTAAATGTGTAAGTTTGACAAGGGCCCTATTTAACCTGAATATTAAGTGTCTTTTGTTGAGTATTTAAATGTGTAAGTTGGTTAAGGGCCCTATTTAACCTGAATATTAAGTGTCAATTGCTTCAAGACAAAATTTGTTTTAAGTTGACGAGAAGACATGTAAAAAAGAGAATTATAACTGTTTTTTTTCCAATTTATTTAAGATATTGGTTTTATTATTTAGTTTCCAATATCTTGGGTTTGTTTGGTGATTACAATTTGGAAAAACACTCTTACTATGTACTAAGCTTGTTTTTTTATCCCCATGGCCGTGTAGGCAACAGGGGTATTAAGTTTTACCCTTGTCCATACGTCCTGAAACTGGTTTCCGTTCTCTAACTTTAGTTTGCCTCAACCAATGTTTTGAAACTTATACATAATGCTTATTACCACTTAATACAAATCAAGTTTGAATTTGGGTGGCATCACTTTCACTGTTCCCAAGTTATGTTCTTTTATAAATGGAAAAATTGCTACATTTTCTGATATTTACAAGCAGGGTCATCTGTGTCCCATGGACACATTCTTTTATTTTTTACAATGATTAGCTATTATTTATTACCTGTAAATGTAAATTGAAATTCTCTTCATAGATGAGTGTTATATGGGAAAAAAAGAATAATCAAGGACAATATGTAGAAATACCATGTGTCGAGGACCTGTTTACATGTAATTATACAAATGTATGTGAACTGATGGACCAGATAGTACAATGTCCTGACCCACTTGTAGCAGCAGGAATTTCCTGTCAGTGCCCCATTACTAAGGTAGGTCTGCAATGTTCTGACAGATGGCACGAGATCATAACTAGATTATCACCCTTTGATTTTCATTGTCTACTAATTATTCCCTAGTGTATCACTTGAATTTTTTTTTATAAACCTCACAATTATTAGTTATGTTTTATGCACAAAAAGCCAGTAGGAGGAGGAAATTATATTGTAAAAAATTTGAGTAATAAATTTAAAGTTATAATAGTAGTGATCGGTCCAGATGAAAAGGGTAAGAAGTTAGTAGTCTGAAGCTGCTAAATTGATTAGTTTAAGACCACCTTGCCATAAAATTGTCCATATTTTGCCCATGAAGTTTTCTATAAATTTGATATAATTTGTCCCAAAAGTTGTATATGACACTGTAAAATCTTATTGAGACAGTGCAAAATTTGTTGTCACGGGTCAGCTATATCAGTTGGGATCCCATATGAGTGTCTGACTTCCAAGGAATGTTTGCAATGTAAAGACAAGAAGAAAAAGGAGCCATTCCTTGCTAGGACTGAATATTTTATGTAGGAGTACATTTTTTCGATTGCTGAGTTTCTCAAAAATGTCTGAATATTTTTTGCAATTTCAAAGAATTGATTCACAACAAAATAAATAAAACCAACTGTTGTTAAGAGTGGCAATTGATTACACAGTGGCACATGCAAATGTTCCATATGTATGGTATATAAAAACAAATTCAGGAAAAGAAATTGTTAAATCAAAAGTAAGGAGATAAGATGTTGTATAGGCAGAAAGAGTTAAATATCCAAATCCATGAAAAAAAAAAAAAAAAAACGAATATAAAGGTTAGCATACAGTCTTCAACAATAGACAAATATCACTACCATATATGTAAGGCTCTGAATTGCCTTGAATTTAAAAGATAGTTGTGAATGAAAACAGAAAGTAACAAGGATCAGACAACATCATGTACTGGTATACTTTTATAATATAAACATACTGCCCTAGGAGGAAGTTGTTAGGGTAGATTAACACACAGGGAAAAAAATATCATCTAAGACAAAGTCGCCTAACGCCTTCATCCAAGGGCAGTTTTTTTTTTTTATTATTATACTGAATGCCTTATGATTCAAGTGTGCACTATGTTATTAGAAGGACAATTGTAAAAAAAATAAAGTCATAAATTAAGATAGATTACTGATAATAACAACAAAACAAAGGAAATAATGTAGAAATAAAAATAGGTAAACCTCGGCCAGAGCGGGTGTTAATTGTTCCGGATCAGCAAACTTCGGGCTCAGCGGGTGTTAATTTTAGGCATTAGCACCCGTTGCTAATATTATCACATTTTGCTATGGGTGAGCGGGGCTTATGAAAGGTTAGTGAAAATTAACAAATTGTCCAATGAAATGAATGGATAATATAAGAAATTTGCATAAAGTATAATAATATTGATAATTATTACATATTTTCAGGGGCAATATTTGATGAATAATGCTAATTTTGAGATTGATGCTGCTTTTCTATCAGAAGGAGATTATAGGATCAAAGTAATGGCAATGGCCAAAGGAAAACTTGAGATGTGTATTGATATGACAGCATCAGTATCATCAGGGTAAGGCATATTATTACATCGGTTGCAATGAGTTACCGTGATTTCCCAGTGATATAAAACCCGATAATTTCACATATGAATTAAATCCTATAAATTGACTCCTCTGATGTCAAACAACAATGTGTGTTGTCAAGATGTTTTGGATAACATTGCATCAAAACAAATTGAGAATTCAAAGAAAGGGATATGGTTTCTTGCATTTTCTACTTTAACTCTTCCAAAAAAGTCAATATAATAAAAGAATAACTAATCCAAGAATTCAAATCTCAAAAAATATTCAACTCCTGACCAAACAACACTGCATTCATGAATAAATGTGTTGTTCGGTCACTGAACATTTTTCTATATTTGAATTGTTGGATTAGTTGTTCTATAAGTATTCTTATATTACTTTTAAAGTACAGTAAAGTGGGACATTTTTGGAGAGGGGTTTACTTTTACTAATTTTGTGATTAAGGTAACATAAAAATGGAACAATTTCTCCTTGCATAAATTTGATAATCATGGACAATCATTATTTCGGACAAGAAAAATAAAAATATCAATCCTTGTGAACTAGTTTGTCATTTGAAGTTGCAAAATGTACAGTACTTTTTTAAATTTTGATTATTGGGAAATAGAATTGTTCCGTGAACCTTTACTACAAACACCATATATGTGTTGACCAACTTGCAAGTGGTCAGTTCTGCTTTGAATTATTATGCTATTAGAAAAAAGCAAGATTTTTACTGAGTGTCTATCATAGTTGTCTCCCTTTGGTAAACATTATGTATTGGGAAACTTTTGTTAATTTGAAAATGTACAATGGCAAAAATATTGATGAAGACATGTATGGCTTTCGTGGTAAAAATGTTTTCATATAAAATATGCATGGAATAGTTTAGATAAACCACAAATTTCAGGAAAATTGGTACAAAATAGTACTTTCAAAGAACTTACTTCTATCAATTTTCCCACTGAAACAGATAATTTATATGCGGATTACTTACATTTGTGATGGATTGAAAAAAAAATTCCAAATTGGTCTATATTGAATTTAGTCACTCATATGAGGTCCCTTTGGCTGTGCAGCACTGAGATAAGAATTTGCCATCACTGTTTTAGATATGATTTTTATGGTATGACCTAGGCCTTTCAATCCAACAACAGAGATCCTGATTATTAAATATAACTGCATATTTTGGTAAAAAAAAAGAATAAGGTATACCTTAAAAAGGATGAATAAAGAAGTCAAGGGTGAGACTCATAAACTTGAAGGAAGAGGAAATATGAATAAGATGTTATGATTCCCTGCAAAAAGATTTACTTTGTTCTGTATATTTTCAGGTAAAAAAGAGTGACAGCTGAACTGAAGGAAGAACTTGAAACAGGATAAGATTTAAATGGATGAAAACTAACATTTTAGATTAAATTTATACTGGGAAAAGGGGGAATTGAAATGAATTCGCAGACCAACAGGAAACTGAGGAAAAATTTTGTTACTATAAATTTGTTTGTGATATCAAGTATAGAAATGAGGTTGAAATTTGTTGTTTTCTAGGAATTAAATGTAATTTTTTCATCAGATATATTCCACCTGGACAAATGTATTTTAATTTTAATAAAAGCCATCAAAAAAAGTGATAGCTGCTGAAATCAAATTTACAAATGATGAAAACACAGAAACTTGGATACTTCAAAGATATATTTTACAGGTGTTTTACATTGAAAATTTTTAGTTCAGATGCTTTGAACAGCTTTTACTGACATCATACTTTGAATGAGATTGAGTCTAACACAGGGTAACATGAAATAATTTATATGTCAACTGAACAAAAATGATTTCTAGTGTGTCTTTTAATTGGGAATGACCATATTTCTTTTAAATGTTATGAAATAATTAGTGTGCAATTTAATGTAAAAAAGGGTGCTTTTAGAAACTCTCCATCTTTGGAAATGGAAGATTGTAGTGAATTTTTTTTTCATACATTAATAGTGATGTCCTATTTTTTGTGTTATTCAACTTTATTGTAATCAATTTGATGTTTTCTCAAGAGAACAACAATTTACTAAAACAGCAGAAAATTTTATGAGAAGAGCTTTTTTCTGTTATCTGTGAACTACCACAATTTAGTCTATATTGTAGTCTGGAAACTAGTAAATACTTGTTTTTTTATGCTAACTTTTAATCAGAGTGTAAAGCTTTTATACATTTTTTGCCAGTAAATTTCATAAAACATCTTTTGCATTGTAAGATATTTCAGCTATTATTTTGTTGTTAAATCTATAATAGCATATGGGGACGTAAAATAGAAATTTAACAGCCTGGAAAAGGAGTAAGAATCACATTGCTATGAATAAATTTTTTTTTAGAATAAGCTGAAAAAGTAGATAAAATACCTCTTAATTTAAATACTCATACATTTCATTGTAACTATACTTTTTGTCCCTTGAACTCTCTTCTAAGAAATCCTCTACTGCAGTGCAGATGGTTATATAAAAGTGTTGATTACCTGGTTTTCATCTTTCATTGTCTAGATTATATGCATTCTTATTGTATATATTAATTTGCCACTGGACATTCAGCAGCCATCCATCATCATCATCATCTTATGATATAACATTAGTTTATTAAAGAATCAAAGGGTTTTGTAACTTTGGAAGATTATAATGTTCGATTTAGCTGAACATATTCTGTTAATGTGTTTTTGTGTTATTTATTATCGCAGCGTGGTTGGCATAGAAATACTGAACAACTATGTGTTTTTTCCATATGGCCTTGTAAAGGCTCAGACCCATACAATTCTTGCCAGATTTTTTTGAAATTCATGTCATCAATTTCTTGGACAAATTGAAAAATTAGTGCTGATAAACTATTTTTATATTGTAAGGAGTTATGTCCCTTAGAATGTATTTGCGTTTGTCCATCTGGTCTTGTAAGTGCTCTCACGTACAATTCTTGTCAGTTTTTTTTCTTTATGAATTTTTGTCAATGATTAAAAAAAGCAATGTCTTGGAAAAGATGGAAAATTAGTGCTGATCAGAGTTAAGTCCATTAGAAATTTAGATTTTATTGAAAATTGCTTTGTATTAAAGTGATCTCAAGCCTGGATATTTATGAAAAAATGTTTAAGAACCAAACAAAAATATGTTTCAGTTTTGCCCTTGGTCAGGTACAATATGCACATTGGTGAACCATTGGAACACTGTTCTTTTATAAATTTTGATATAATTAGAGTAAATTTTGGAGTGATAAAAAAACATGGACAATGGCATTTCTTTACATCATTATTTTAGGGGTATGAGGCAACTTTCATCTTCTGCTTCTATGGGAGTCAAAACTTTAAATAATTCAATATGCATTTCTCGTTGTTGCAAAAAGATGGAAATAAAGAAAATATTTATTTTTATTCCTTTTTGGAATTTTAATAATGTGACATTGGGATTGATACAATACATTTATACTTATATACTAGTACATAGAAGATAGAGATATGTATATACACTATACAGCTACTATTGTTTGTATTAATGTTTACTTTTTTTATTAATACTATTCACTATGTTTTTCTTAAATAATATTTGTTGTACTTTGTGAAGTTTTTGTATGTGAAATGAGTGCATTAATTTTGTTGTTTACCATTTCAGCTTCAGAATCTAAGGAACTCTGGTTAAATGTTTCAATGCTTAATTTGTTGGGAATTTGGCTCAAATGATTTGATATTGTTATAAACAAAAAATTTTGATATTAATTTGCTTATTATTTTTGGTGTCTCTTGAAGAAACTTATTTTCTATAAAAAAATTAGTTTTAATTCTTTACTTGTGAATTGTTAGGTTTAATTCTTTACTTGTGAATTGTTTAAATTGAATAGATCCTAAAGCATAATTGTTAGTTAAAACAAAAATTTGAATTATATGCTAAAGTGTTGAACTGAGTAGTGGTTCTCCTGGGAAAAAAAGTTTGGAAATATAACATTAAGGGGATCAAAATTTGCACTCTTCCAGTTGAGTAGAGTGACTTTACCAAGATTTTATTGTAAAATAAATATTAAATATTTTAGTTCTCTTCACTTCTGAATACCAGAATTTCAAAAAGTTATACACAGGAATTGTTGGACTATTTATACTCATACCAGAATCTCAATAAAATTGTACTCTTGCACTTCTGTTATATTTTATTTTATGTTTATTTGTCATTTTTATTTAGAATTGGGGCATTGTTATAAAGTTGTAAAAGTGACAGTGAAAATAGGGATATATGCACATGAGAAAAATTTTGTACCATCTAAATTTAACAGCAAAGGTATTTGTTAATTGTATTTAATTCAAGTAAAAAGTGAAATTTAAATCAGTTATTTTGAATGATTTATTACAAGTAAATCATTTTCGATAGAGTTGTTTCCCTTTGTTGGAGAGTGGGTGTACTTAGGTATCCACTATTTACATCCTTAAGGGAATTATTCACATTTAATTTGTAGTTTTTACAAAAATGTAAAATTTTGGCAAATTATGAAAAATTCAACAAAATAGTTTTCAATGCAAATTTAAAGTTTCATGAAATTAAAGATTAAATTTAACAAAAATAATGTACACCCTAATTCACTGTTTTATTTAAATTTTCAGAAATATTATAGATTGAAAAAACTCTTGAGGAAGGTACTAGATGAAGAGAATTATATTTAATTCTTGGATATGTTCATATGTGATGAAAATTATCCAAAATTACTGTGATTGTTTACACTTTATAACATTGTGCAATAGATTTTTTAGGTGCTTTTTGTATTTATGTAATACTATATATTGGATTTTGTTGTTGAGTATTATAGTATTTCCTTCACGTTCAAATATTTAAAAAAAAAAATCACACTTGAGAATTTGAAATCAATAATATCTTCTTCTTCTCCAGTTGTACAACAAAACTTCAGGAAACTGAAGATTACTTGGGATTACGCATACATGGTATTTACCTAAATTTATAATTTAATTCAAGAAATGAAAAAAAAGACGAAAGATTTATTTTTTATATTCAAGGTTGAAAATTTATATTTAAAGATTACAATTAAAATCTTAGAAATTAACTCCAGATTATTCCACTTAATTATTTCGCAAACTAAAATGTTTGTATATGTTTTTTTTCTACTAATTTTCAATAAACTTTATTGAATTCTTAAATTGGAATTGTTACTCAGTACTGGCATGAAAATACAGATATTTATTTCCTGAAATTTGCTGTAATAAAACTAAGGAATTTACCCATTGAAATGAAGTAATATATCTCCCTCATGCATAGCTCAGATTCCCTGTCCAGGTTTGGCTATCAGGTTTTGGATTTTAAAATATTTTAGCCCTGATCATCATTGTAGAGACATTGTCAAAATATGCATATGGTGTAGTTAGATTGGTACGTTTAATGTTATGTTGATATGGCTTCATAATGCTTACAGTTGTCGGTTAAGTTTATTTAGCTCACCTGGCCCAAAGGGCCAAGTGAGCTTTTCTCATTACTTGTCATCTGGCATCCGGCGCCCGTCTTCGTTATTAAGTTTTACAAAATTCTTCTCATCTGAAACTACTGATCCAAATTTAACTAAACTTGGCCGCAATCATCATTAGGGTATCTAGTCTTAAATATGTGTCCAATGACCCTGCCTGCCAACTAAGATGGCAGACATGGCTAACAATAGGGGTAAAATGTAAGTTTTGTCTAATATCTTGAAACCATTATAAATAGAAAAAATCTGACAGGGTCAGAATGATGAGATCTACCAACTATTGTCCATTCACTTCAAAACTGTCATACGACTTTTTATAGGAGTTATTGCTCTTAAATGATGAATTTTACTATTTTTTTCATTTTTGCCTATTATCTTAAAAATTATAATAGATAGAGAGAAACTTAACTTTATACAGCAAAAATGATCAGCAAGACAAGATCTGCAAATTAGGACATCGTCTGACGACCCCTTATTGGCGTTGTTCTCTTTAATGACAATTTTTACCAATATTTTGTGTTTTTGCCTAATATCTGAAAAACTATCATAGATATATATAAACTTAAATTAGCAAAAATGATCATCAAGACGATCTACAAATAAGTAAATATGGTTGAAAATGTCTGACAACCCCTTATTGGCGTTGTTCTCTTTAATGACGAATTTTACTTTTTTTGCGTTTTTGCCTACAATCTGAAAAACTTTATTAGATAGATAGAAAAATAAAAAAAGCATTCTGTGAGTATTGCATGGCAAAACATAGTCCCCTACCGGTTAAAATTCATTGTATTGGAACAAAATTCTAACTTGATCTATAACTTGTCATGGTGTAAACTATATAACAAATATCAAGTCAATATCTTCAAGCATGACAAAAAAAAGTGTTAAAAACTGATTATTTAAGTGAATTTTCTAAGTCCAAATCATCAGACCGGAACAAAATTCGTTCTTGATCTGTAACTTGTCATGATAAAACTATATACCAATTTTCAAATCAATACCTTTAAGCATGACAAAAAAAAGTGAGGAAAACTGATTATTTTAGTGAATTTTCTAAGTCAAAGGACCATAACTCTGCACAAAATCATCAGACCAGAACAAAAATTGAACTTGATCTGTAACTTGTCATGATAAAACAATACACCAAATATCAAATCAATATCTTCAAGCATGAAGAAAAAAAGTGTGTAAAACTGATTTGCCGGACAGACAGACAGACAGACAGACAGAAGGAGGGAGTGCAAACCTAAAGTCCCCTTCGACTTCGTCGGTAGGGGACTAATAAGCAAAAATGATACGCAAGACTAGATCAAGAAAGAGATTTTGGTCATGAATTCTTTTCTAGTCAACAAAGATGGAGATAGTCCATTGTTGAAGATGCACATAAACTTAGGTGAGCAACAGAGGCTCTTTAGAACCTGGTATCTGATCATTATCCCTGATTTGAGTACAGTTAAGAAATACAATATTAGCACATATAAACATATATAAACACATATAAACATATATAAACATATATAAACACACCATACAAAAGTTTGTTTTGCCTTCAAAGAAAGAAGCTGAAAGAAAAATATAGGTACTACTCTTCCTGCAACAGTAATGGCATTATTGGTTATTTGCAAACAACCTCAATATCTTACCCCTACTTTACCAAGGAAGACAAATACTTATATAGAGGTTGGTTATGGTCATTGTGACCTGCCCTTGACCTCATTATCATGTTCCAGTAATCAGAGGTATGTTCCTCACAAACTATACATGGTAGGTCATCAGCATTTGGAATGTTGATTGGTTGATCACCTGACCTTGACCTCATTATCATGTTCCACTATGTATATAGCTAATTGGAGGTTTGTTCCTGATTGGTTGATCACCTGACCTTAACCTCATTATCAAGTTTCAATGATCAGAGGTCTGTTCCTCAGAAACTATACATGGTAAGTCATCAGCATTTGGTATGTTGATTGGTTGTGAGGCATGTATGCCTTAATGACATGTCATGTGGCTGACCTAAATTTCACCTTCAAATCTTAAGGGTTGATTTCTGGATAAGGTCTGTTCCTTAGTAACAATACAGGACAGGAAAACAGTATGTGGTATGTAGATTAGATTCAAGGTGCTGTTCCACATACATGTACTTCATAATTAAGGCCTTTACCTCTATTTCGTAACCCAGTACCATGGCAGATCTGTTCCATAGTACCTTCACATGACTGGTCAACAATATTTGGTATGTGAATTGGTTCAGAGTAATAATCTGTTTACACTCTTCATATGGCCTTGGCCTTAATTTCACACTCAACCTGGTTAAGTTTTCAGGATAAAGGTCTTTTTCTCATTAACTATATGTGAAAGGTCAACAATTTTTGTTTTCTTTAATGGGAATTTAAAGCTAAAAATATATGTCCATCTAACTTATATGACTGACCTCAATTTCACATTCCAATGGTTAGATTTTCTGTGTGAGGTTATTTACATATTACCTATTGGATATACCAACACCATTTGACATGTGGATTGATGTAAGGAGTATACGTCAGTCAAATGTAATTCTTCTGACCTTGACCTCATTTAAACACTTGTGGTTAGAATAAATATTTTTTTGTTGATGTTTATTCATACAAGAATAATAATGAATTCACAATATATCTACAGGTAATTAAAATAAAATGCTCAGCAGGGTGCAGCTTGATACAACCGCAGAAGTCAAACCCTGAACAGTTGGGCAAGTGTGGACACAACATTCAAGCTTGATACAGCTCTGAATTTGGATTGTGATTAAATATTTGACACAGCATAGGTTTCTGTCACAGAATAAATGGGGTCAAAGAACTTAAAAATTTGAGCCCATTTATTCTGTGACAGAAACCTATTCTGTGTTCAGAGCTTGAATGTTGTGTCCAATTTACCTATTATGGTCCAATATCCAAAATCTAAATGATCATAAATGCATGGATAGATTCAGCATATCAAAGAACCACAAGAATTCAATTTTTGATGAAATCAAACAAAGTTTAATTTTGGACCCTTTGGACCTCTTATTAAATGTGGACCAATTTAAAAATGGGGCTCAAAAAAGATCCAAAATCTAAATACACAGTTCGATTCAGCATATTAAAGAACCCCAAGAATTCAAGACTTTGATTTAAACCCTATTGAAATTGGTCTAGAAAGAAGCAATTTATACAAAGTATAAGAAAAGTATTGTTTTAGGCCCCTTTTTCCTAAACAGTTGAGCCATAACACCCAAAATCAACCCCAAACCTTCCTGTTTTTTGTATAGAACCTTGTGGTACAGTTTCAAAGAGATCCATAGACTTATACTCAACTTATTGTCTGGAAACCAGAAAATCCTCGTTTTTTGTCCCCTAAATACTAAATGGTTTGGGCCATAACCCCCAAAATCAATCCCAACCTTCCTTTTGAGGTATAGAACCTTGTGGTACAGTTTCATAGAGATCCACACACTTATACACCAGTTATTGTCCTGAAACAAGACTTATGCTTGTTTTTGGCCCCTAATTCTGAATCAGTTAGGATAATAACCCTGAAAATCCCAAACTTTCCATTAGTAGTATGGAACCTTGTGGTACAATTTCAGAGATCCATAAACTATACTCCAGTTATTGTCAGGAAACAAAATGTCTTTCGATGACGACAACATTGCCATACCATTATACGGTCGCAAATTTTTGTGGTCGTATAAAAAATGTATAAAGTGTCTCTGCTATTATAAAAATATTTGTTGAAGTCTCACCAAGCCTTGACAAAGTCATCCTTAATATTATCTATGTCAAATTGACAAAAAAAGGTTCACCTGACATAATAGAGAATTATATACTGTAGCTATATAAGTAATGGTTCAACTGTAGCACCCTTCACTCCAACTGTTATATGTAAATAAAGAAGATGTGGTAAGATCCACCAGAGACAAAATGAAGTGGATGTAAGCAACCATAGGTCAACGTACGGCCTTCCACAATGAACAAAACTCATAACATATAGTCCACTATAAAAACTCTATATAGCAGAATGTAAAATAATTCCAATGAAAAAAAAACAAAGTTTGATTTATGATAAAGCAAGAAATTTGAAACAAATGTGACAAACAGCACGAATGACAACCACTGAATTACAAGCTCCTGACTATGGACATGTACAGAATATGACGTGGTTAAACATTTTTGTGAGTACTCATCCCTTCCCCTTACCTGGGACAGTAGTGTAAAATTATTTTAATATAATGAATACATTTCAAAATCTTTACCGACTGCTTTTCCAGACATCCATCACTTCTACATTTGATCTATTCAAAGAAATTTAAATTGACCGTTAAATTTTCTGAACAATTTCTAAAAATACTTTGAATCAGTTGAGCATGGATAAGGAGGCCTCATAATGTTCTTGCAAATTAAATAGTTGGAATGCTGATATACAGCATTCCACATTTCAATGTTTGATTAGAATTTGTTCTTCATAATGTAACTTATCTTTTTAAATACTGTCTCACTCAATCCTTATGTGTATCAAAGTACTGTGTAAGTCAGACATAAACATTCAGTAAAAGGAGCTTTAACAATATGGAAGTGTTGTGCTTTGAAATGTGATTGATTGATTGATTGTTGTTTGCATAACATCCAGTGGCAAACTTTTATTCATTTAAAGAACTATAACAATAAATACAAAAGGTAGGCTCTGCCAAGTGGGTTAACCTGGATTAAGGGTGGGAATTTTATGTGCCATTAGAAAATGAGGGTATGATAGATATTGGCAGAAATTTTGCCTTTTAAAAAATTCACTTACAGACTCGTCAAGTTGTTGCAAGGGTTTTTAACTTGCATAGAATGTTGCAATCTCCCTGCCTGAGGTATTGGATTGAATGACCCAAGTCCAACCAGACATGGCTGCATATTTATTCATTCTGAAGAGACAAATGAACCCCTTTGCAGTCGGGTTGTAATCCTCAAACAGAGAAACTGGGACCATTTTCTATAACCAAGGTTACCCTTGGGGTTTTTTGGGAAAGTGTATATGCTATAAAACATTAGCGTATTTAATATATGAGGCTTCTACATAGTGTAGACTTCACATGCATATCACTTTTCCTTTGTAAATGATATTGTTGGGAAAACAAGGCAATAAATTTTGACCTCTTATTATGCACCCTTGCTTCTATATTGTATGCCTCTTAACCCCATTGTTTCCAAAGAATCTCATGCAACTGCAAATATAAATCTGGGTAGCTTATGTTTTACAAAATAAATGGACATAGCTTAAACTTTATGCCCAAGCCTATGTACTGTAAGGAGAAAAAAAAAGAACAAATAAAAATCTTTCTTCACTTTTTTAATGTTTTCAGACTTGATTACACAATTTTTGCCATTTGAGTCTGCAACCTAACAATATTTCATTTAATAGGAAATTTAAATGATATGTTTTAAATGCCAAAACATCAAGTCTTCAAATAATTTAATGTTCTGTATAATTACTGAATAGCAACATCAGATAATGATGGAGAAGTTATCTCCCCTTTCCCTTCTATTTTCAATGCAGCTCCTTTATATGTGGCTACTTTGTTTTTATTTACACGTAGATCAGGCTTCACTGCTTCCCATATCTTCTTTTTAGGATTTAACATAGCATCTGGTTCTCCTATAAACAGAAAATTAACCGGGTTTGAAAAAAAACCAAACATAAAAAACATGCATTTCTCATAGAGTTTCTTATGAATATATATATATAGGGTAATTCCAAACTAAGCCATTGACTTTCAGAAATCATAGTAAAACTTAACAGAGAAAAAAGATTATCTTGAAACTAATGGCTCAAGCTACTAAATTTTGGGCTGGAAAGTCCATAGTACTTTTGTTCATTTTTCATATTGTAGCAGGTTGGGCCCATAGATGGAAAATTTTGGTCTTTTTCACTCTAAAATCACAACTTGGTATCTCATCTATGAACGTCATGCATTTGTCTGTGAGTTTGAAATTTGAATCTTTCATCTGAATTCAATATGCACTAATGAATCTTAAGAATCTGTATTGCACATTTGGATCTTATGCCAAATATCGAAAACATCCCACTCTTACCATATTAGTCCTATGTTATCTCCTAAAGTTCAGAAGCTATTAGCTTGCCCTTTACTAATTTTTAAGACATTTTCCACAGCATTAAATTAGTTAAATTTTAAAACTATGGCCAATCTGGTTTTAAATAAAGGCAACAGTAGTATAAAAGTCATAAATCGATTAAGAGAAAACAAATCCGGGTTACAAACTAAAACCAAGGGAAACACATCAACTATAAGAGGAAAACAACGGAACAACGGAACAACTAAAACACTAAACTGCAAAAAAAAAACAAACAAACACCAACATCAGACTACACGAATGAATTTTAGTTTTACAGGACATTAGGTCTGGTAAACAACCTAGCTTTACCAGACCGAATGAAATTTTACCAGACCAATATTTTTTACATCTAATTGTATATTATCCGACAAAATACAACAAACTTATGACTCCTCTCCAAAATGCACAAAAACAAAATTATGTGACAAGAGTGTATATTTTGAAGAAAGTTGTGCACAATGGCTTGAATGCATTTCAGTGATAAAGAAAAGTACAGTTTCTGTGTAAAATATTTCCTGTATCTTCTTTCTTTTTCATATATCTTTTGGTTTTCACTTCTAGTGTTTATAATTCATAGCTGTATTTTGTGAACCTACTTTTTTTTTTATTTATTTATTGTATTTTGATCGGCAAACCCGGAATTGGCCTTATCCCTTCCCGGAATCTGATCCGGTATTGTCTATATTTCCGGTTGATGGCAGCCATTGTTGTTTTTGTCAGTCAGATATGTTTTTACTCGGATTTACTAAGGATTTGTATAGTGAGATCTCACTGTATAAATCCTTGGATTTACACATTACTTGTTGGCGATTTTCGGCATAAAGCTAGCGGTTGAACAAAATAAACATCGCTATCATGAATAATAAAGATGAAAATGAATTTTGATATCTTTTAGGAATTTTGCTCCCTAAATTGGGAAAAATGTAGGGTTTTAACTTTTTTTTAGAAAAATCCATGAAAAAAACAACACCGGACTTTCGGACCGGAAAACAACAAAATTTTACCAGACCGTTCCATTATTCACCAGATTTGTCCGACGAATTTTGTGTAGTCTGCAACATACATAGAAACGGACTATTTGATAACAACTGCCATATTCCTGACTTGGTACAGGACATTTTAAATCATTTCATTAAAAAAAGATCTTAAATGTATCAATTTAAAAAGTTTGGTCGCAAGTAAAATAACTGTAAATCAACAATTTTTTGTAAATTTATGAATTTATCATTTTATTTGATGTGGAAGCAATTTCTTAATAATTTTGGTGACCAATACTTATGTCCAGCTCTCTCGATCTTGACATTCTGAAATATTAACTCTCAGACTTTCTGTACAATACATTTTTATCTATTATAGCTTTTATGAAATTTAAAAAGTACTTGCATTTTATTAATAACCCCTTATGTTTTATTTTTAGCCATGTCAGCCATGTTGGTTAATGGATCCGAACCCTCAGGAAATTTTATTTAAAGTTTGTTGTGAGTAGCTCAGAGGAAAAGATCTTTGAATAAATTTACGGAGGATGGTGCCTTGTGATTGCAATAGATCATTTGGCATTTTTGGAACCACAGCATTGCTCTATCTTGTTCTAACATAGAACAGGAGCTCTTTTTACCAAATATTATACAAGTCAAACAGATAACAAGTTATACTACATTTTTTTGTAAAAGGTTCATGACTTGCAAGTTTTTTTTAGAAAAATTTGTTGTGAAAATTATCGCAGCAATGAATCCTAGAAATAGTAAATATGGAAAATTTGTGTACTTTACAATGTAAGATAAAAGACTACGGGTAATCAAATCTTGATAAAGAATTCACTATATATACATTTTTGATTCTGGTTAATTAGAGACAGTGCAAATAAGTTTCATTTCAGTTAAGCAAGTTAATAAGGGCCAACAAATGGTCAGCTAAGTCATGAAATATAGGTAGGGGAATAGAGGAACAATGTGAGCTAGCTATTGCATTGTTATAAATTAGGCAGATAGTTTTTTCGTTTGAATGGTTTCACATTTTTCATGTCAGGCCTTTTATAGCCGACAATATATGGTATAGGTCTTTCTCATTGTTGAAGGCTGTAGGGTGACCTATAATTGCTTATATCCACATTATAAGAGTCTGGAGGATAGTTGTCTCAATGGCAATCATACCATATCTTCTTATTTTTATATAGCTAACTGAAAACTTGACTTCGCCTGTCAGTCCTGTACAATGCAGGGTTCATATTCATACCAATTGACATGTTCTCCTCCTGATTATGGCTCTTCTAATGTTAAAACAGTTCATCCCTTTTTAATAACCTACCAGTATAACCTTCAGCAAACACTTTATCACCAATAGCGGCACCTTTAGGTACATTTAATATCTCGACTTTTTCTGGTGTACTAGCACACATAATCATAGCTTCTGATAATACACCTCTCATCTTGGCTGGTTTCAGATTGCACATAAATACAGCTACTTTGTCTTGCATCTGTAAATTACATAAAATAGCATTGCATTTATCAGTGTTTAAAGGGTTTAATCTATTTAAAAATTGATGATGCTGTTCAGTAAACAAATTGAACAGAAGAAAAATTTGGGGAAAAAAAAAAGAATTCTTGCACTATTATAATGGATCTTATGAATAACCTGTATTCTGTTTATAGTTGGTTTATACAAAAATTGTAATTAAAACAGACTAGTTCACCTTCATATATCATTAAGATTTTTTTTTTATAATTGGTGGTGAACAAAATATTAAACTTCTAGAAAATGTAAGCTAATCCCTGACGACCATTTAAACTACGAGATTGATCAATGTAATTTGAAAAGTATTTTTTATAAGAGCCTTAAAAATATAAATAAATATGTAAGTTTTTATTAATACAATGAAATTCTTGTGATATTTTCAAAGTAATTAAAACAACACCTGAATTTACAGTAGATATTGTAGACCATTCTTACCTCTGCCAATGTTATATGTTTCACTAGACCTGACACAACTGTCCTGGTTTTCCCCTCTCCCACATCTACTTGTTCTAAATATAGAGTATCAGCATCCGGATGTTTCTCTACTTTAACAATTTTTCCTACTCTGAAGTCCAGTCTGGATACATCTACATTTTCATTAGCTGGTGCTGCTGCTTTCTTATCAGGTTTTCCTTTCTTTGCTTTTGGTTCTTAAATATAACACTTTTTTTATAACTATTTGATTTCACAATTTAAATGCTTATGTCCTGCATTTTAATGGACTTACATTTATTTCATAAGTAATACACTAGTTTATGTTAGTTCAAGTGATTTTGGATATGTAACAATGACCATAAAATTTTGAGGAAACCCAAGTTGCTGGACTATCCTTTGTATATGATGACTTGCCAGTTTTTTATGGACAGATTTAAATTTTTTTTATCTATAAGATTATGTATTGTCCGTGTTGTGAGTTAAAAAAATAATCACTGTTAAATAAAATTTTGTCCTTTTGATTTATTGCTAAAGGTAATTATTATGTCAGTGTTATTAAATCCTTTTGATCTATTACTAAAGGTTACTATTATGTCAGTGTTATTAAATCCTTTTGATCTATTACTAAAGGTTACTATTATGTCAGTGTTATTAAATCCTTTAACTTTATATTTTTCTTTAATTTACAATGTACATTAAAAAAATATTCTGACTGTCAGACTGTTTTATAATGACTTGAGACAGGAAACAGACATATGGTTATTTTTGGCCTGAGGAAAAAAAATCTGAAATCATCACTTCATAAAAACTTTGCTATATTAAAATGGTTGATTGTTACAGTGTCTCAACTTCCTATGTTAGTTATGTTCCACATACCATCTAGCATCTATTTAAAAATAAAATTGAGAATGGAAATGGGGAATGTGTCAAAGAGACAACAACCCGACCAAAGACCAGAAAACAGCCGAAGGCCACCAATGGGTCTTCAACACAGCGAGAAAATCCAGCACCCGGAGGCAGGCTTCAGCTGGCCCCTAAATAAAAATGTGTACTAGTTCAGTGAAAATGGACGTCACACTAAACTCCAAAACATATAAATGAACTAAAATTAAAAAATATACAAGACTTACAAAGGCCGTCTGTTTTAGTGGTTTAACAAACTATTGGATATTATTCCATTATCACATGACAGGTGATACATACATAGAAGATGTTACCTTGTCAATGAAACTATAGTCTCATGACACATTCCCCGTTTCCATTCTCAATTCACTCTATTTTGAGTTTACAATTTCTGACTATTTTCACTCCCATTTTATATCTTTTTGAAGCTGGTGGGTTTTTTTTAAAGCATCAGTGAACTATCTTCATATTTTCATGTAGCTGTGTTTTAGTCATCTGTTAATACCAAAATCACTGAGTAAAGTGATTTATTTGAACTTATTTTCACTGATTGAAATAACAAGGAAATAGTATGTAAATTCAGAAATTTTGGCAATGTTCTCTTGTTGCAAACATTTCGAGAGGAAAGGTTTTCACAAAAATAAAAACTTGCATTTTAAATTAATAGTATTATTTGTATGCAGCAATACCCGAAATGGCAATAATTAATCTTGCATGTCTGTCCATTGTTCAACATTTGCAATAATAAATGTATGTAAAAATTTCTGAATTTACTGTAACCAAAGTAATATTACTGTGACTGTCCATGGTCACTGTATGTTTGTATGTTGACTTATAGAGGTCTTTTTTTGTTTGCTCCCTCATTGGTGTTTACCTTACATCTCTATGTATTCATAAAACCTCAAGTTGAGTTTTATAGTAGTGGTCAATATATGACATGTATGAGTTAAAATATCATTATTGACCCACCCCAGTTGACAGAATTATATGCAGTCTTATTGTGAGAGTGAATAGCCAATAGGTACAATCTATAGTGTTATTCATTAGATTGAAATTTCATCAAATAATCAATTATTAAAAGACATTTTTAAAGTCAAAGTAAATAAGATCTAAAAAGTGATAGTACCAGCATCAGAAGTGTTAGGCTGATCTTTCTTCTTCTCTCCTTTAGATGGCTTCTCTTTTCCACCATTATCTTTTGGTTCAACTTTGACCTTTGCCTCTTCCTGGACCTTTGCACCATCTTTAGCTGAACTTGACATTTCTCTACCTTTCATTGTTGGTAGTGGTATTTGTCTAACTGAAAATCATACAATGCCAGCAATCTAACTTATAATACATTATATTAACTTCAAAAAATGTTTGAAACAGTTTTTAGCTTTTAATATACAGAATTAAGTTTTTTCATTGTCAACTTTTGGTCGTATTCAGAAACTAATACCCTCTTTCAAAGTCTATGGTGTTTATGTAGCTAATAAGTTATGCTAGCGCATGTTCCCTTTACAACAATTTTTTTTTGGAAAATGTAAGTATGTACTCGTCAATAATTATGGACATTTTGAAACATATAAATATTTATTTCACAAAAATGTACACATTTGTCGATTATTGGTTTATACAGATAGAAAGTCATGGCACTATAGATAGTCACAATTTAAAATATTTATATTGAAAATAAGAGAGAAACCTCCAGAACCAATCTGATTTAAATTCAGATTTATATCTAACATGCTTTGCTTCGTGGAAGTTATGAACATAGTAAAATCACAGATTTATATTTCGATTAGATTAGATTGTTCTAGAACAGTTTAAGAAATTCATCATCACAATTGTAAGTTAGATTGTATAATAATGTGAACCTTGTGAAATAGCATGTGAAAATCCGACTAAACGTGACTACCTTGTAAAAAGTAGGGTTCTATTAATACCTATTGTCAATTTCAAGTTTCTGTTTAGTCCCACATGCATGTTATATATTTTACTTGACATTTAAAACAGTTATATATATAACAGATATTTAAGCAAAGGAAACTCTAAAGATGAAAGTCCATTAGGCTGACATAGTTTGATAAGGATTCGAATTATATACAAACTGAGCATATATAATAACTGCCATATTCTGAAATTCCTGACTTCAGCGGTTCATTTGTGGGTTAGAAGAAAAGAGAACAATCGGTATCTGTGTGAATCTATGTCTCGATCAAGCTGCATAAAATTGATCACAGAATATTCAAGATTTACGACTTATCTTGAATAAAAAGATGTGGGCTATGATTGCCAATGAGATAAACTATGCAACAGAGACCAGATTAGCTCAATTAATTTTTGTGTGTACTATAACAACTGAAGCCGTAGTTCTACTGTACTGCACGTCGATCACATCTCATTTTCTGTTATAACAGGAAGGTGCATGGAAACCATACCACCTAACTTAGTTTAAGAGTACACAACAACCCTATTTTTGTGCATTATACGCTCAAGAATATACGTCTTACAATTTTGTATGGATTATTAGCAAATGCTATATTTCAACTCTAGTCCTAAGCAAAAGCACTGTTCTTTTTTATCTGACAAGCTAACTATGATTTCAGATTGAATGATCATACAAGTAAGGAGGCTAGGATTTATAATTCGGGTAGAATTTGGCTGACTTATGGCCAAACCCCCACCCTGTACTCTTTATTTTTCACATAAATCATTTAAATTTCAGATCCTTCAGTTTGCATATAAATATCATATGATTATTCAAATTTCGTATAAAAACTTACACACCAGAGACGACTATAAATGTATGGCTTAGTACAACATGCAGGCATTAACCTATCGTCGACAGAGATATGACAAGACATTGATACTGCAGATTCCCTAAAATCCTTTGGTTTGCATAAAAAAGTATGTCATTATTCGAATAACGATTTTGAATTCACACCCACCAAAGCAATAAAAATGTATCGCTAAGTATACCATGCAGGCATTTAGATATATTAAGGGACCATTTCTTACACCTCATATAAAAACAAACATGCTCTTTTCACAAGAAAACAAATATGTGAATAAGAGTCTATTTGATGAGGAAAATTAGTCTCCTTTGATCTTGAATTAACTTGTTAAAAAAAATTCTCAAAAAGAATGAATAACTAATTAATTAGCTTAAATTTTCGAATGAATGTCAATCCCTTGATGAAATAAATGATAATTGGCATTCTATTTAAAAAATAATTCCCCCCCAGAAATTATCTCCAGGTGATTCTTATTTGAATTTTATACAAGTTAAAGAATTCCGGTAAACTAAATTAAACACATGTGCAATGGTATCTCTCTATTAAATCTGGGGAAAATATAGCATTAAAAGTATTATTCATGTATTCTTCATATTTGAATCGTTATGTTTATTGCATAGAACGTAATCGAAAATTGTTCTTTTTTCAGTTTCATACAGTGCTGGAATTAAAAAATTTTAATTTTATTTTCAATGAATTCATACAATTAATTTTTTTTTCATTGTCATCAGATATTTAATCTTGGTGTATTAAACTCAAAATTCTCTTTCTGTTAATCCATTCAAAATGACAACATTCACACCTGTAACAGTTTACGCTTGACGCTAAATTGCTCTCAGGTAAAGTTCAAACAAATTGTTTTACAAAATGCTCATCTATTCTAGAAATAAACAATGCCTTTCCAGAATAATAGACAAATTCTATTCACACAGACTTTGTATGGAAATGGATGTCTAAATTATTAAGATAAATAAAAAGGAAAATATTTTCAGTTCAATATCAGTTTATGATTTGTGTTCATTAGATATTTCCGGAAAAAATCTCAACCATAAATAAATAAAATTAGATCAAAAATATATACCGAAACCATAGGATTTTTTATTTAATCAATGTAAAACATTACACGTGTGTTCATTTTCTTTCATTCTTAATTTGTGGTTATAAGCTACGAGAAACGGTCATCTGCACGCTTTTAATGACCGAAAAATTCGACAAGCGATAAGAATTTAACTGATTTTAATTTCCTACCCAGTATTCAAAATCGGGCTAAAACATCACAACCCAATAACGTATGTCAACCAAAAAAGTTACAAACATTCGATTTCCTCTGTTATTATAGGGAATATAAATTTAAAACTTTGAGAATGTGTTTTTTTATATTATCATAAACATATTTAGATGATAAGTAAATAAAAATGCTCTGCTGGGGCGCAGCTTGATAAGACCGCAGAGGTCGAACCCTGAACAGTTGGGGCAAGTATGGACACAACATTCAAGCTTGATACAGCACTGAATTTGGATTGTAATTAAATATTTGACACAGCATAGGTTTCTGAAACAGAATGAATGTGGTCTAAGAACTTAAAATTTTTTAATTTACCTATTCAAACCATATCATTGTTATTTATTTTATATATAAATCAGAAATAACCAATTTAAAATGGAAAATTTTAAAGAAAAAAACGAAAAAAAAATCCCTCTCAAATTTTTGAACCCCCTTATGATTCATCACCCCAAACTCAATCCCAGCCTTCCCTTTGTGGTATGGTACCTTGCAGTACAATTTCAGAGAGATCCATACACTTGAACACAAGTTATTGTCTGGAAACTAGAAAAATGCTTGTTTTTTGGCCCCTTTTTGGCCCCAAATTCCTAAATGTTTAGGGCAATTACCCCCAAACTCAAACCCAGCTTTCCCTTTGTGATATGGAACCTTGCAGTACAATTTCATAAAGATCCATACACTAACACACAAGTTATTGTCATGAAACTAGAAAAATGCTTGTTTTTTGCCCCTTTTTGGCCCCTAATTCCTAAAATTTGGAGGCAATTACGGTGAATTACCCCCAAAATCAATCCAAGCATTCCCTTTGTGATATGGAACCTTGTGGTACAATGTCAGAGAGATCCATACAATTACACACAAGTTATTGTCATGAAACTAGGAAAATGCTTGTTTTTTGCCCCTTTTTGGCCCCTAATTCCTAAAATTTGGAGGCAATTACCCCCAAAATCAATCCCAGAATTCCCTTTGTGATATGGAACCTTGTGGTACAATGTCAGAGAGATCCATACACTAACACACATGTTATGTCTGGAAGTTACAAAAATGCTTATTTTTGGCCCCTAATTCCTTAACTGTTGGTACCATAACCCCTAAAATCAATCCCCACCTTCCTTCTATGGTATTGAACCTTATGGTAAAATTTCATAGAGATCCATTCACTTAAACTAAAGTTAGAGTGCGAAAACCAATGTGTCTTCGGACGACGACGACGACGCCAACGTCATACCAATATACGAACACAAAATTTTTTTGCGGTTGTATAAAAATCGTGAATTTTCCCTTTAAATATAGGACATGGTTTCCTACAGTTTTGGTAAATTCAGACATAACAGAGTGGATTTAGGATCAGTCAATATACAACTTGGTTGTGATCAATAAAACTACATGTATCATGTTTTTTATTGTCATATAGTGATTCCCACAGGATTCTGGAAAGGGCAGTTGACTTTGAAATAAAAGCAGAAGGATAAAATTGACAAAGGAACAAAAGATTAACATTTAAATATATAAGATACACATAAGGGCGGGGTATATGCATGAAGCAAGGGTAATCCCTCTAATAAAATTATCTAGGGGGCATGTCTATATACATTGGCTTTCAACCACAGGAAATGGACTGCCACTATATATATCATGACAATATGTACTAAATAAATACAAATATAAATTTCTACCATGGTGAACTTTATGGCCTAATATCACAGACAGAATCATGATTTTCCATTATGACAAGAAGTGGAAAAGGTTAAATTGTCATAAGACAATAGTGGAAAATCCTAAAACCATTCTGATTGATCTGTACATTGTTGCTGATAAATAAATGAGTACATTTTGAACAGATGTGAAAGGTATGTTCCTTGTTTGATTTTATTTTATACCTCCATTACTAGCTTCAGCCAGGATGAGTTGAACCTTTAAAGTTTCTATGTCCTTCCTCAGTTCTTCATTCTCAATTCTCAATCTGTCTTCCTCAGGCTTACTGATACTGATGGCTTCAATCAGAAGTACATGTGATATTAAGATATTTTCAATAAAGAAGTGTGACTTTTCTTAATCTAAGTGTATTACAAAATGTAGTAAAACAGATTTTGTTAAATAATTCTTATGTATTGCTTTACATTTTGTTAAATTTAGTTGAAGTTCTATTAGGGATTGCGCTTGGGTGTGTCATTGTCGCAAAATGCAATTTAAAATTTCATCTGGCAACCAAATACAGCTGCTGGCAATATTTATAGTGCAACTTTTTATCCCAATGTCAAAATTTTCATGCTTGACTGTAACTGTAAATTGATCGATATCAGAGACCAATACCATAGCATTAATTAATGGGTGTTTTCATAATGGGGCTGTTATATGTAGTCTGCAATATAGTCAGTTTTATTACTTTTTTAAAACAAAAAAAATAGTTTTGTCGTTTCTTTAAGTTTAAAAGGTTACCCTTGCTTTTACCGTCAACGTTTGTATCAGGCATGGGGTAATGCAAATTTGTAATTGTAATGCATGGTAATGCATTACATTTTTCCAAGTAATTGTATGTAATGTGTAATGCAGCAATTTGTGCATTACATGTAATTGTAATATAATGCATTACTTTAGCAAAAAGTTGTGTAATTTCATGCATTACATGGCATTACATGTCATTACTTTTTTCACATACCACATCTTTAACATATTGTTGGAGTTTTAACTAAACCAAATTTAAGATTTCTTGATTAACTAAGAATATGTTAATCATGAGAATATATTCTTTATTTCATCTTATTTCATATATTTTCCTGCATAAAAAGATTGATATTTGAAAAGCATAACTGTATTGTTGTCATAAGATCAAAGAATATCTTGTCTTGCTTAAATAAAAGATAATTAAACTTTGTTATAAAACACTAATTAGTTTGTTTTACAATCAATATTTTCACCATTTAGACAATTGTTCATTAATTAAGGTCTATGTTTATTTGATAATTAGGGAAGTAATTCACAATTATTAAATATGTCGTTTAAAATAAAAAAAAAAACAACAAAGAGTGTATTTATAAAAGTAAAGTCAACATTAAATTAAAATTGTAAAAGCCGAATTAAATAGAAATTTTACATGTATACTTATATTCAATTCATGGAACAGTTGCTGCATATGCTAGAATCTTTTGTGACTTCTACTCTTTTTCAAGATGTTTAATTTTTCTATTCACTTAACAAAATTTTCAAATGTAATGTGTAATTCAAGGCATTACTTTGCAAAAGTAATTGTAATATAATGCATTACTTTGATAAATGCATGTAATTGTAATTGTAATATAATGCATGGTTTGGTCAAAGTAATTGTAATATAATGCATTACATTGCAATGTAATTCGCCCCATGCCTGGTTTGTATTAGGTTTTGCATTTTCCAATATTTTGGTCTTGGGCATCACTGAAGAGACATTACTTGTCAAAATGTGCATCTGGTGCAATAAAATTGGTACTGTTTATATTATCTTTAACTATGAAAGGCTTTTAGTGGAAGGGTTAACATGGTTAAAGAGCAGGAAGGAAAACTTTATTTAAAAACTTTGAAAATCTCATATGCATGAAGCAACATCATATGCAAGCATAACAAAAATGTGATGATTGTTTGAAAAAAAGGGGATTACACAAATATTTTAAAATTAGAGACAAAAATTAGATGCAATTGGGCGACAAATTTTTGAAGACCAGCACAGTCTATAATGTCGATATTCATTAATTTCATGTATACGCATACTGTTGGAAAGACCAAGAGCCTTGGGCAAGCGTTTTTTTAATATCAGATTGGGATTTTTAATTTAAGCAATAATCAAGATAATACTTATACACAATTGTATGTCAATTATCATGATTAAACTACATATAACAATTCAATTGAAGGACATTTGAAGAAAAAATCTTCCATCAACAGGGATTGAAGTTAAAATTTTGGCATGGTAGCCCACAGCTTAAATTTTGTAGCCCACATATATCAGTCAGGGGTACTACTTGTACAAGTTATTTTTGTTTACTTGAAGAAGTAAATAATAATATACTTGTATAAGTAAATTATGTTATGTTCATATTTTCTTATAAGGTTTGAATAATCTCCCCTTAATTTTTTCAAAAAATTTACTTGTATAAGTAATTTTTTTTTACAATCCCTTAAATTCTCAAGTTTTGAGATGTATAAACATGCCTTTAACAATTTTTCTCTGGTTAGCTTATAATTTTTATTAGAGTTCAATGTTTCATCTCATTAATTCAACAAAGAAACTTATTGCGCAAAGATCTTATAATAAGTAATTGCGCAAGGCCTTCAAAAACTGCCCCTTGGGGGCTTGTAAATGAGCAGTGTTCTGAAGATAACAGACAAATGAGATTTTCATTGTCCATAAAATTACACTTACATGATTAGTAAAGACATCTGCAAAGGACAGACAATTAAAAATTCTATTAGAGCAAAGAAGTCCTGAGAAATTCAAGAAAAGACAGTGACTTTTTTACTTGTATAAGTAAAAAAATCTGACTGTCTAAGGGACATAACTAAGCCAATAAAATAATTTACCTATACAAGTAAATGAAATACACTTGTATAAGTATCTTACAAATTTACTTATATAAGTATATTAATATTTACTTCTTCAAGTAAATAAAAATGACTTGTACAAGTAGTACCCCTGACTGTATATAGTCCTATACAAGAAAAGCAGAAATTTAAGTAGCCCACACCAAATTTCAGGGGCCATTGGCGAGTGGGCCCCTGCTAATTTCAAACCCTGATCAAACCGGAATATACTGCATTTTCATCATTTTCATAACTGATTTTATTGATTATTGCTATTATCAATTCCTTTTGGTATACCTGCAGATTGTCTTAAATTTTCTATCTGTCCTTTAAGTTCTGAGATGATATTTTCAGCCTCTTTAGTTCTTTGATTTAATCGCTGTAGTACAGATGCTGAAGCCATTCTTCTGCAAAACATATAACATTTAAAAAAATATGATCCACCAATAATTAGAAATATCATGCCATGTGTAATGTCCTGATTAATTGTTGATTCTATCTTTTTGGGACTTTATTCATAAGCAATAGCAACAGGTTCTTGTGCTAGTACTCATAAAATATCAAGTTTAAATGCTACATTTGTAACCCACTTCCTGACTTTGCACTGCTAATACTAAGAGTAAAAGTCGGCGTCTACGGTAATAAACCTAAAGTTTGGTAACACCTCATATGTCATGTATGTTACAACAATAATTTATTCCAAACTGTGAATATCATGGAGTTTGACCTGGGACATACTATACACTGAAAGAAATTGGTTTACATGGTCCTAAATCAAGAATCATATTTTATTCGAATTTAGTACCCTGAAACTTTGTTGTACATCTGAAGAAGAAGTGGACTGAGGAAAATTACCCAGGGGTCACCACATGAGGCAAAGTGTGCGACTTTGTAGCCCTAAAGTTTCGCCCTTGATTTTCAATAAAATTCCCCATATGTATATTGCCTTGCGATTTTCGAATAATTCTTGATCTAAATGCCAAGGATTCCAATACTTGACAAATAAATATTTTATCCTTGAATTACAAATGAATTAGGTCTTGAATTGTCCGCAGTCATTTACTTTAACATTACAATAGCCAGACAGGGTGCTGATTATAGAGTACTATAAGCAAGAAACAAGACAAAAGCTCGATTCAGCAATGGTTTAGTTCAGCCATCTTTGTTACTGAAATTATAGAGGGTTCCCTTTATTCTTTTCAAAACTCTAATAATTTATTTAATACAAATTAATATGGAATTTTATATCCAATATTAGCTGATAAATATCAAATTCTTCATTAAATGCTGATTCTCATAACTGGGTTCTATCCTCATTTATGGGTTTTATACCCCAAATCAGGTATTTTTTATTTCATCATAATGGCTGTCTTGGGGCAAACATTGATATAACAGGCAATATTTTTCGGGTGGGTCTTTTCACCACCGAACACCGCCGAACACCCAAAAAAACCATCAACGACTGAGAAAATCAGTGATTTTATACAATAAAACGGTACAATCAACTAAATTACGTCTAATTTAACAATTTTTTAGATGTTTATATGCATCATTTTTCTGTTAAAGTCGATTATCAATATAATCCATATAAAGAAAAACGTCTCCAGATTCATCACTATTTTTTCCGGATTACATTGTGTGTGTATAAGAATCATTTGAAATCAATTACTGATGAAGGATATTAGTTACCCGAAATATTTAACATTTGTTCATGTCTTTTTTCTTGTAATTGGTACAACTATTTTATTAAAGAAGAAAAAAAAATACTTGAGATGTCCAGTGGTGGTTTGCAGAGTTGTAGTGTTATAGACTCTCCTTTTCTGTTCGATGTAGATATTTGTTCTCCTAACCTTATTATTTGTTGAATTAATAAATTAAATATCATATTAAGTCACATTTATAACAATAAAAGTTCAAAAATATAAATTTTTGGGGTTTTCGGTGGTGTTCGGCGGTGTGTGGTGGTGTTCGGTGGTGAAAAGACCTACCGATATTTTTCCCTTTAAGACTATAGTTCAAATGAGAACTACATACACAGATAATGGCCTCCAAAAATCTTACTTTTTGAAGACTATTAACTTTAACCCAGATGATATCTATTGATATCGCAGTCATATTTTCTAGTCTTTGGGCAAAATATTGTCATTTACCTGAATGTTTGTGCCATGACAGCAAATATCATGAAATCCAAAGTTGACATTCTTAACACTATAAATTGATAACTATTTTGGGGTATGATACCCATAACTGTGGATAGTAGCCATTTATAAGGATCTTCTCAAACCTGTTCAGCACAATTATTTATAAAAACATACATAACTTAAAAGAATAATGTATTTATCCCGTTTTAACTGCGAAAACATTAGTAGTTTAGTGTTTCTATCAGTACACACACAATTACTCAATGTCATAGATGCATTGCGTCATATTATTTATTTAAACCGACAGCTCTACATGTATATACATCTGTAAACTGTATTATAGTATAGTTGACTAAAATTATAATATTCTTTCCAAGTTTGACTCACATTGGTTGAAACACACGAGCTACAAACATTAACAACTACGTGTTATACAATTTTTTTTCTGCCTAAACAGTCTTAACAGCCAAATATTCTTGTTTTTAGTTTCCTTTTCACGTGTATTGAAGGGTAAACTAGATGGTGGGAAAAGAAACGCAGATATTATGTATGTATAAATATGTTGGTATAAGTCTCTTTTCTTCGGAGCACCACCATGAATTATTGGAAATTTTTGAATGTATTTATATAGACAGATCTTCCCGCTTAACTTATACTGTATAAAATATCCTTTTAGATTTTAAGTTTATTCCCGCTTAACTTATACTGTAAAAAAGTATCCTCCTAGATTTCAAAGGAGTAGGCCCGGTAAGACCCCTTTTTGGCCCCAAAATATAGCATTTTTTCAAATTTGTTGAAATGTAAACGTTTAGCTCCTTATTGGAAAGTAGAATACTTTTGTTTCATAAATATGGGCTGTTTTTGACAATAGTACAATGCACTTGCATCAGGTAATAGCAACCAAAAATATCAAAAATATTCCATCAGATGTACTTCGAATTTTAGGCTAGCCCTTACCGGACTTTCTCCTTTATACGTATGTATAGATTTTAAAATTTATCCCCCCTATTTATACTGTACAAAAGCGTCCTTTTAGGTTTTTCATTTATTAGTATAAACTGAGACTACTTCTCTAGTAGCCTCAGGTATAAATAAATTTTAAAATTGTGCGAAGCGTTTCAATAGCCATACACAGCTGTATGTGGTGTTCCATAATTGGAAGAATTCAAGGAATAGAAGTCACTAGTGAGCCTTATTTAATTATTCTTTCTGTATACTTGCCTTGTAAAGGATCATCTCAACACCATAGTGATTTTCAAGACTGTATTGCCCAGTTACATGAAATAGTCGGTACGTATAAACAACAATCCAAATAATTATTGGAGGAGACTTCAATGAGGATACTGTAAATGGTCCAACATCACAAAGAAAGACCTGTGTCAAGGACTTCATGAAAGAACATGAATTCGAAACAAAATATAATGGTAGCACTGTTATCCATTCAAACGGCTGTGATACCACTGCTATTGACTATTTTATATTTCAAAATTTATATAAACATACAGTCCTTGAAATCTCGAAACTGGATATAATATCTAATGTATCAGATCATTACCCAATTAAACCGTGATCCTTCAATATCATCATTCAGTGAAACAAATCAAATCAAGCAATAATTCCGTCAAACCTAAGATCAAATGGGATAAAGTAGATATACAGCTATATGAGAGTCCTATTGCTTCAGAAATTTCAGACAGCAAACCAACAATAGAGACAATAGAAGATGTAACTAAAGCATTCAAAAATCTCAATGAAATTATTGTAAAATCTACTAAAGATGCAGCACCAGCAATCAAAATGGGGAAAAAAAGACCTAAGCTACAAGTAATGAATGACGCCATAAAAGAAGCTATCAAAAAGAAGAAACTTGCTTTTCATGACTGGAAGTTAAATGGACGTCCAAAAGAGTCAGACAGTATATATACCTGAAAAAGAAAAAACTAACAACGCACATTCTACGTAAAGAATGCAGATTAGAGGTAGCTAAACGAAGAATAAATGAACGTCAAAAACTAATTAATGCCAGAACATCAGACAGAAACATGTTTTATAAAATTATAAAAAGTCCAAAAAGGAAAATTATCTAGATTTATAGATCAATTACATGAAGATAACAACACCTATCACAATGATAACATCATAGAAGGCTGGCGTTCACACTTTCATAAGCTTGCAAAAAAAGGAACCAAATCAAAATTACGACACTCAATATCTAGATCTTATTGAAAAAGAAGCTAAAATTATAATTGACATATGTAAAGATCGTTTCAAGCATAACCCTATAACAGACGAAGAGATTTCAAAGGCAATATCATGTTTAAATAGGAATAAAGCTGCTGACTACTTTGGTGTAAATGCTGAAAATATCATACATGGTTGTAAACAATAACAACAATATTTACAACTACTTATCAACAAATCTTTTGAACTAGGCTGTATATCTGATATTCTGAAAATTGGTACACTATTTCCTGTATTCAAGAATAAGGGTGATGCTAGATATGCGAAAAACTATAGAGGAATAACAGTCACACCTATATACTCAAAATAATTGAAAAGATAATTAAATTACGGGAAAACCCTATCATCCTGGAGAGACAAAATCCATTTCAAAGAGGATTTACTGAGGACACCACCCCTCTGTTATGTGAATTAATTATTGAAGAGTTTGAGCGTGAGAGTAAAGATCTCAAACTACCAACATACATAGTTTTACTTGATGGTAAATCAGCGTTTGATGTGGTTGTACATTCAAATTTTATAAGGAGATTATATAGCAAACAATCCAATAGAACTTCAGACGCTAATAAATATTGCTGTCAATTTTAGCAATAGAGAGGGATACACTCATCTTCGCTAGCCAAGGGTTACGATCCACTTCCCTCCTCTCCGCCCTTGGCAGATTAAGCCAACATTTGTGATAACAATGTTGCGCCATCTATCGGTAGATTAAAGTCACGCCCATTCCGAATACATTATTCTTCACCAATGGTAGCACTTGAACTCTTTAATTTGGAGGTAAAAACACGGTAGAGTCTAGATTCTACAAACTTGGTAAAGCAGGAAACGAAAATATACGTTGACATTCATACATTTGTGCAAGAAACATACACAGGAACTTCTATTAATTGATTAAAAACATTCAAATTGTCACTAAATATAGTCGTATGTTTAGGGATGTAAAGACTTGTAGCACAATATAATCACGTGGCAATTGTTTACATACACTTTCTACATTTACACGTGATCATGTTATAGGCGCTTTTTGATTGGATGCAGCTAGTGTCGACTGCAACCAATGAAAATCATTACATTGTGTCTCCGAAATTCTATCTCAATCCGCCAAGGGTGGAGAGGAGGTTAGTGGATCGTAACCCTTGGCTAGCGAAGATGGGATACACTCTACAACCAACAAAAAGCGTAATATTACCTGTAAACACCTCATCCAGAGCGATTGAAATATAAGACAATTTTTGGCATATAAACAATAACCCTATGCCAGTGGTAGAACACTCCTCACATATTGGTTTACAAAAGTGTCAGCAAACTCGGCAAAACTATAACTGTTGATGAAAACATAAAGAAGGCAAGAAGATCATTATACAGCCTAATGGGCGCAGGCTTACATGGGAGGAATGGATTAGATCCTGAAACAGTAATAACTCTTTTAAATACATATGTTATGCCTATATTGACCTATGGTTTGGAAATACTACTCCCGACAGGCAGCAGTTTTGATACTATCCATTAATTCCACAAGAAAACTATTAAACAAATACTCTCATTATCTCAACAAACAGCTGATCCCGCTATATACATACTAAGTGGAATGCTATCAATTGAAGCTGAAATCCACCTAAAAGCTTTAACACTGTTTGGAAATATCACCAGAGCTAACAAAAGATCAGTTGAATGGAGATTAGCAGAAAGACAGCTGCAATTAAAAACACATACAAGTAAAAGCTGGTTCATAGAAATAAAAAAAATATGCCTAAAATATGATCTGCCAGACTGTCAGAATTTTTTAACATATCCTCTTGGAAAATTCCAATGGAAAAACCTGATTACAAGGAAAATTTATACTTACTGGAGTGAAAAGATAAATGATAATTCGGAGGGTTATTCAAGCTTGCAACACATAGTATGTGCCTATAAGATCAAAGCAATCCATCCAATCCTTACAACAACCACTTCAAACTGCAGAGACATCAACAGAATACCTATTAGAACTAAAGTTACAACAGGAAACTACATACTGCAATCAAATAGAGCCAAATTCAACAAATGTGAGGTATCTGCCACCTGCAAAATTTGTAATAAAGAGGACGAGACGATTGAACACTTTCTTATCTCTTGTATTCATCTAGAACCGGAGAGAGAAAATCTTCTAAAAGTGATACGTGAGCAATGTCTTAGATTGGTAGAACTATTTAACATTAGTTTGGATATAAACTTAATCCATGTGATAATTAACCCATACTACCTTGTGAAATTCTGTGCTTGCACTCAAACTAGTGATTTATGTAGCTTTATTAGCTTGCATGTTGAACCTGCTTGTAGAACACTTATATATAACCTGCATATGCAAAGGTACAAGCTCCTAAACACTGGACAGAAAAACTTAAGAAAGTCAAATTTAGATAAGTAGTAGTTGTGTGTGGACTGTAAGTTATTATTATTTAAAAGAAAATATATTTCAAATCTCATAATTAAGACTTGATGTGTGATACTGGTGAAGGAATATATTGACATACTTGTATAGTGTACAGACTGTATTATAATTCTATTGGTGATTGGATTTATATTGGATTTATTACTTCGTACTGAAGGTGTGCCTATATTGGCAGAATATATGAAGATACAGAATGGGAAGGATATCCTTGCAATAGAAGAAGAATAAATTATGGCGAAAAGGAGGAAATCTATGTAGATATAGTAGCACACTTTATCGGCACAGATTAATGTGAGCACTGCCTGCCGAGTTCCACAGCCTGGCTATGACAATTAAAGTTCACCAAAACATAAATAAATACAAATTTAACCTTTCCAAAAAGGTATGGTCATAAATTAACATCGTTTTTTTGGTTACAATTTTTAGAGAAAACAAGAGTTTGATTTTTTTCAGAATTATTTATCATTATTTTTGTTATTTTCTGTTAATTTTCATTTCATATTATATTTCAGATTTTAAAGGACTACGCACAATTTCATTGTACAGCCCCAAAGCCATTATTACTGACCGAGAACAAGTAACAGGCTCAATTTGAAAACACCCATTTCTGAAAACTTTTATTACCCAAACCATCAATGTGTAATATTTACACCTAGTACCTTCTGCTAGCTATTATTCGTGTGTTTCTTTGTCCTATATGTTCTCCCATTTACTTGTATTGTGGTCCTGTCATGTGATGTTGTCGTTTTGGTGTTGTGTTTGACGTTGCCATAAAAGCGGGAGGTTTGGCATGCCACAAAACCAGGTTCAACCCACCATTTTTTCTTAAAATGTCCTGTACCAAGTCAGGAAAA